GAATCGAGGCTTCATCAACAAAGCCTGCCCGCACCGGACGTACTGGGACACAAAACCATGCTGGGAGTATTGTTGGCAATGTTCGGGCCATGTTCGGGCTGCGTTGGGGCAGTGTTAGAGCTATGTTGAGCCAGCCCTCCATAGGCACACATACATACACGTAGACATGCAGATTGAACGCGCAAGAAATTACAGCAGAACAGACAGTTTTTTAAGGACGACCTGCCTCGAGGCAGGCCTCGAGGCTCAGCTGAAGTTGCCACTCCTCATCGGTCGGCGGCGTCGGTCGCTTCTTCGTGTTTGGCATTGGCCTCGCTGCACGTGCCATGTTATACATTGAAGGAGCTCTGAAGCTAGGCAAGAAGCTGAGCTCGCGACGCAGCAGACTTGCAGGTGCCGGGAACAAATCAATTGTTTGCTATGTTTGGGCTGAGGTATGCTACAGATTGAATTGAATCGCGGTGTCACTGCTGCGGGTTCATGTGCGCAAGTCACTTCCAATGGTTGTGTTGTTAGTAAATCAATGTTTCAAGAAGTCCCGAGCCATTGCCCCATTCCTTTTTTTGCGGGTGATCCCAAACGTCGTCTTTAGGGCGGCGCCAACGACCTAGCGGTGTCTATGGATAAGTCCTGCTAGGCCGTTGCAAGCAATTAACAGGGACGAACCAATAGCTGTAGATGTTTTCATTTTGGTTTCAGGACGAACTACATAAATTGCTTGGCCGACAGTGAAACGATTAGATTGGGGCTTGGGGAACGTGACTTCCGGCTTTTTGACAGCTACTAGTTCACCTCGTGTATAATTGTTCTTCCAAGCTCATATCCTTTGTGTCGAATACGACCTCTTTAAATGACATCTCTATACATATATATATAATTATATATATATATATACATGAAAGACATCTCTAATACATGTATATATCTATATCTCAGAATTCCAGCCAGAAGTCCCGTTCCCACGCACAAGTGACACCGGGGTGCCACCAATCCTCCAGGCTCACCGATCCGTGTAGCCTCGTGGTCGGATCAAGTCCCCAGAGCAAGCCCGACAAACCTAGTATACAACAATCCATTTGAGGCCCAGGCGGATCCAGCCGTCGGTCGGCAGGAGTCGGAGATCTCCGCCGTAGGCCTGTCGGCGCAGCGCGGGTCAACTTCTGTGCATGTGCTAATGCATCGGTTCCTTTGTCTGATTATTGCCCCCCTCGTCTCACAGACTTCCGCGGAGGCGTAGATCCACCCGTTGGGGTGGGGCCACGCCTGCATCGTAGCGATGTGGGCACAGAGGAAGAGCTACTATCTGTTGCCCCGTGCCTCCTCATCCGAAAAGTCATCTTCCATGTCGGATGGGATCGCTGTGCCAAGCACCTAATGCAACACGATTGCTTGCAGGAACCCCATGAGAAGCTGGTGTATGCTAATGCCACCCGCCTCCGTCGACTGATCGTCATCGACGGAGATCTCCGATTCCGACTCTGCATCCGTCCTCAGGCCACGCGGCGACCGCATTTGACTTGTATATCTTGCATCTTAAATATCAGAAGATCTGCTACTAAAGACCGGATTTTGCACCTGAGATCGCCACGGCTCTTCCGGGGCAAACGTGCTGTGGTAGTTGCGTGAGTACGCGCAGCGAAGGCCTGGGTCTGCAGCCGGCCGGTTATGTTGGAGTCTAAACGGCGTAAGCCTGAGGCTTCGACACATGTATGCCACATTATCCCCATGATACGAAGGGTCCTCCCCAACGTAGTTGAAATTGAGGTCGCAGGCCTGCGGCGATGCTCGGTCCAGTGATAGCCTACTTTGCGTGGCGCAACATACCGTCACCTCACAGTGGCCTCCAAAGCGTTCCAGAACGAAGACCTCGGTCCAGCGCGCTTGAAAGGCAAGTGTCTCTCATACAGCAAACACACATCAAAGTCTTGACGACAAGCTCTTAGTGGCGCGCGTGGCGAGCAGGCATCTTTCCTTGGACCTCAGCGGTTTGATCTCTCTTGAAGCATAATTTGAGAAGCATATTGCTTTTGAAGCTCTTACGGTCTTTTTTGTTCTGGGCGTCGAACGCAACTAGGCTGAGCGAAGCCAGAGACTCAAGATTGCTTGATCTTCAAGGAGCTAGCAGAAGCAGTCAGTGTTCAAAGAAATGGATGTCATGATTTTTAAGCTGACACATTTGCAAATGCGGCTCTAACATGCCTTCGACAAATCTGTTGCATGCACCGGTTTGTGTGGTTGATCCTCATGTTGTGTTTGTTGCTGTCTCTCATGGAAGGACGCGGGGTTCTTGGCTTGGCCCCTTGCCATGAAAGCTTTATGCTGCACTGTGTGTGGTCGCCAAGCAATTAGCAAGCGGTGATGCGTCGGCTTGCCGCCGTTTTTTGTCGCTGTTGCCTCGGAACTGTGAAGGTCATTGCTCTAAACCTCGGTTAGGTCGTGCCTCGGTGCTTTGATCTGAGGTAGAAAGGGAGCCCATGTTCCAAACCTCCTCGGGAGCGCTGTCCGTGAACTGGCTGGAGCCGTAGGGATTGAGGGCCTGGACCGCTGCGGCGTCGTAGACAAAGAGCTTGTCACGGCGCTCTGTTGGTGTCTTATGGTCGGCTGCTCCCCCTTTGGCTGTGGTGCCGCCTGGGCTGGTCGGCGCGTTTGTGCCCTGTTCGAAGAGACCTCAGTGTCGTACGTGCTGGGTCCCTTTTTTTCCAGGTGGATGGCTGCAAAGGCTTGAGGAGGGTCAGGTGCTGCGGTCAAGCTCATTTGCAAAAAAGTGCATCAAAAATCAAACGCAAAGCATGACATTTGCAGTCGTAGCAAAAACCTTCAAGGTATTCGGCCGAAGAAAAGCTGCACAGACATCTGCATATAAAAACGTATTCGAAACGATGTATATTATATGTATGTATGTATGTATGTATGTATGTCTGTCTGTCTGTATGTATGTATGTATGCATGCATGCATGCATGCATGCATGTATGTATGTATTTGTAGATACATATATATATATATACATATGTATAATATATATATCTCTCTCTTTCTTTCTTTATATATCTTATCGGGATATCTTCTTAAGGGGCAGCAAAACAGAAAGTTTGTAATGATGGGGCAGGCCTCGGGGCCTCGAGGCTATGGAGAGTGCAGCCAGCAAACACATGATTTTGAGCCATGTTCGGCCCAATTCTGGGCCATTTTAGCGGACTGTTGGGCCATGTTGGAGCCATGTTGGGGCCACTTTGGGGCCATGTTGCGGCTATGTTGAGCCATGTAGCCGCAAAGCAGCGAAAATAAGGTCATCACCGCCAAAACATCCTCAACAAAATTCCTCATCATCATCGAAACATCACCAGTACATCAGCAACAAAACGCCGTCACCACCACCACCACCATCCTCTTCCTCCTCGTCATCATCGTCATTGCCATCGTCATCGTTGTGATCATTGTCGTCGCCGTCATGTTCATCATTGTCATCGTTGCCGCTGCTACCGCCGCCGCCGCCGCCCTCCTCCTCCTCCTCCTCATCATCATCATCATCATCATCATCATCATCGCCGCCGTGATTGTCATGGTCATCGCTATCGATGTCATCATAATTGCCATCGTTACCGTGGTCTTAATCATCACTATCATCAGCATCAGAATCATCTGGATTATAGCATGTCATCACCACTATCATCAGCATCAACTTCAACAGCAGCACCAGAATATGCTGCCCTATGCTTGCTCATATCGCATCCCCATGTTCTAGGTCTGGATGGAAGTTCGGAGAAAAGGAAACAAGTAGTTCCCGAAATAACAAAAAGCAAAAAGTCAAACACCTTCTCACAGCATATGTCTGAGCAACGTAGCACAAACTCACACATGCTAGCCACTAGTCACTAGTTGGTGCATGCACAGTTGTAAAAGTCCTTTGAAAAGCAGACCAGTTGGATATATAGGTATGTCATGCGTGAAAATAGGGTATCCCAAAGTTCGATAATTCACCATCACGTTCATTTTCCTCACTCATTGAAATTCGCCATGTCTTGATATTTATTGGAGATCAATTCCAACATTTCAGGGACCAGAGCTATATTTCCGCGCTGCTTCACCTGGCTCAGCCGGTAGAGCCATGTCACAAACATCGACAAGAAGGTTCTAGTGAAGGTACCTTGGGCCACAGGAACCCTAGACATTATGAACATGTCTTGCTTTGAGAAATAGATGTGTGACTTTTGTTTCAGCAAAAGTCACATGGTGTAGGAATTCTGGTTTCACAGTTGGATCTTGATCATCCCTACTGAATATGATCATCACCCAGGGCTTTTTCACGCCAAGCCAAAGGCGACCAAAGGGGGGAAGAAAAAAATCCTGAGACTGGAAGATGTGGAATTCCCATCCACAAAAAATGCTGAAGATGGATTTTTTCTGTGGAAACATCTTTCAAAATATGGAATCTCGCCATCCTTGGACCTCCATGCGTCATCCTGATCCATGCTTTTAGATACCTAATGGCCATATAGGTGTTTCCATAAATGGGGGGTACCCCTAAATGTATGGTTTATAAGGAAAAATCCTATGAAAATGGATGATTTGGGGGTACCCCCATTTATGGAAACCCCCATATATACATACATACATCTCTATATATATAATAATATATACATATAGATATATGCCATTTACTATAACCATTGATATGCCATTGAATGCCATGAATCAAACTGCGGCCCCAGCGACCATAATATCTGTAGACACTTTCCCGGACCGACCTCGGCACACATCCCATGCACCGGTCCCCTTGGGATCCTCCCATCCCGGGGAGTCATGGGAAGTCGTACCATCCCTGGGGTCCTATGATGGGTCCGCAGTGGCCAAAACAATCGAGGAACACATCTTGATTCTCATCTTTGATGAACTCCCAGCACAATGTCGTAACGATCCTCGGTTGCATTGCAGGCTACCCCGATTCGGATTCCCTTTCGCAGAATGGTGGACACCAATTGATGGGAAAAAGGGCATACTACAGCATGCTTCCCATACATTGTAAAAATGCAATCAAATGGCATTGACATTGTATCATACAACACATAAATTCATGCTTGTGTGTGTGTGTATTGAATGTGTGATTTACAACTATGGATTCATCAGTCCACACGTCCGCATTCTGTCGTTGCAAGGGTCATGCCAGCCACGCATTGCACGAAGGTAAGTAGCAAGAAGCTCCAGAAAAGCATGTCTCGGCTGGCGGCCAAACATTTCAATAGCAACTGCCTCGGCAATTTTTGGCTCAGCCGATCACATCAGCCCAGTGGTTGGGATTCGTTTTATGAGATGTTCCAATTTCAGCCCATTGGTTGTAGAATGTCGTATACTCAACGGCAGAAATCATATCTCTTATATCAATACACTGCGGTAGAAACAACAAAGAGTTCAAACATACAGTGGATGGTGGCGAAATCCTGCACCAGTTGATAGATGGTAAACATCCCATTATCTATCGGGTTTCAACCATCCGAACTTGGGGGTGCAGGATCTCGCAACCATCCACAGTATGGTCAACATATCGATCACATATCCATTTATCGATATGTTAGTTTACCAGAGTGTATGGGTACCCCTGTTCATAGGATTTTCCCTTAGAAACCATTTGGGTATGTCTGAAAATGGGGTATACCCCCAATTATAGCCATTTAGGGATAATGATCAGCAAAACCATTGGGTGTAGGGGTACACGATTTTCACACAAAGCCATTGATTCATAGATCCCCACAAGCTGGTGCCCAGTTATGTTTGTTGGTTTATAATCCCATGAAAACTAGTTCGATATATCATGATATATCTACCATAAGTCCTAGTGAAATTAGAGGTATGTGCACCAACTGAACGCTATCGAACGGGGGCACCAGATCCCCAGAACCAGAATCCGGTCGCCACGTTGCAAGGACGCAAGAACGCTGGTCATCGACACCACTCGCATGGCCCGTGACAGCTTGCCTGAAGCAATGAAGGAATGAAGAAGGCAAGTTTTAAATGGATTCAATGGGATTTCATGGCAATTTAATCGGATTTAGTGGGATTCAATAGGATTTCATGGCAGTTTAATCGGATTTAGTGGGATTTAATGAGATTTAATGGCAATTTGATGAGATTTAATGGCAATTTGATGAGATTTCATGGGATTTAACCATCAACCATATAAAGATTTCATGGGATATTCATAGGATGGAATTCAATATCAACAATCTGATAGTTGGGTTTGTCTGGAAATGTTATTGTCCAAATAATTTGCTATTTAATAGCGAAAATGATGATAAACGGGATTTTGGAGTGTACTCCATTTTCACACAAACCCTCAAATGGTGTCTGGTTTAAGATGTGAAACCAACAACAATGTAATGTTACCAGCTGGTTATTTAACAGTTCGCCATGGAAAGATCCACCATTTTAAGAACGGTAAACCATCGAACTAAATAGGCCATCTATACCATGGCTATGTTAGTCATAACCAGAGGGCAATAATGTAATAATAGTTGATGACCAACAATGATGATGTATTAATTATGTGAAACCAACAACAATAATGTAATGTTAATAATGTCAACCCCGGATTAATAAACCCCTAGATTGTTTAATTGGGAGGGTACCATTTAAGTATCATATTATGACTATTGGAGGGGTACCCCCCCTAATTAATAAACCATGGTTTATTAATCCGGGGTTGACATTAATAGTTGATTGAATGACCCATTATATAACCAACAATGATAAATGGTTAAATGATGGTGTGCATCCGACTCCCAATGGATGGGAGTCCATGTGGCGCACACCCTCATTGGGTCCCTTGGGTTTGCCGCAAATCGGAAGGCTTTCCGAAGTCCATCTGAGATATTGCCGGAAATTCATAGAAAATCAACATTGTTTTGCAATGATTTTGAAGGGGATCCCAAGCCTTACTTCCACCCAGGAATCTCATCCGCACCATCTCAATGTTTATCGATTCGCCCATGAAGAAAAATGGATTGCTTCCTTGGGAGAAAAACTACAGGAAACTTGATTCTTACCCCCTGTAAATGCTGCCTTGAATTCTATGAATCATCACCTTCCCATCCCAGCACTGTCTGAGCAGCCCATTCGGAGCAGGCGGAAAAGCACGGGATTCACACCGATCCTCATGGCCAAAGGGCCCAAGGCGGGGCGGTTTTGTGGACACTCACCCTATGAATGTCAAATATGAGTAATGCGGGTAAAACAATGTCATAAACCACCATTTGGGAATGGTAAACATAACACCGATCTATGGTGATGACTGGATTTACCCACATGATTGGGGAGTATAACATACGTATTACAACATATCATAACCCCTCTTTATAACCCATATTAGTTGTATAACCCATAAACCAGGATGGCTAATATCAAACTGTTGAACCATTTAACAGAGTGGTTGTTTTAACCATGTTTTAACCATGGTTTATGGCCAATATCAGCTCTTGAAGCATCGTTGTTCATCGTCCCAGCAACGGTGAGGTCATGAAGACGAACATCTCCACCTCAGCGATCGGCCTATAAAAATTATTGCCCAATGGATGGTTATGGAAAATGGATGGTTAATGGATGGTTAATGGATGGTCATAGTTTATAATGGCTAATGGATGCTTTATATGGCTATAGATAGCTGGTGAATGGATGGTTATTATAATATTTATTCCCCCAAATACGACAACCGGTTTTTGACCCATCCCCATATTTTCGGGGGTTGGGATGGGTAGATCAATGGGAAGATATGCATCTCTCATGATGGCTCCAAAGTCGAATCAATGGAATGTCATGGGATTTAACCATCAACCAACACTGCAAAGCAGCATCAATTGGAAATGGTCCATGACTAGCAGTTGTTCTAACATTATGGTGCAATCGGCCCCTGTTGGAAACTGTGCTGTTCCCCTCAATTCTGGATGGTTTCACCAAAAAGATGTTTTAAGAACAGACCTCAAACATTCAGCAATCAAAAAAAGGAAAAACAACCACATGGCAGCAAATCAAACATCCAAGAAACTTGGCTATCCTGGTTCTATCCTTTCCCAGGATCATTTGAATTTTCAAAAAAATGGGCGCCATGACGTTTAAACAGAAACTTCTTTTCAGTTTCGGCCGAGAGGCCACAGAGATTACACTCACCGCCACATCAATGTAGTTGAGCCAAGATTTCCAAAAGGCCACACCCAAAACCTGGGAACGTTTGCCGATGGGAAGGATGGTGCGCAATGGGCAGCCCCGAAACACACAGATGTTGGTCATGTTTTCTAATGTCAACAAAACTGAGCATCCTCCGCATTTAAAATGGATCCATGTAAGGATAGTCGTTTATTTCCTGCTACATATGTGTGAAAACGTATTACATGTACCTTTTGATATATATATATATGTATATGTATATATATATATATACATACATATACATATATATATATTGAGATGTGTGGTTAAATATGTATATATATATATATACATAATTATACACATGCACATTGTATATGATACATATGCATATATATATACAAATATATATATATATCATGTTTACAAACATATTGTAATTGTATATGTTTATAATTACATACATATATATATATATATACACGCATATGTTGGGACTTGGTCCTTCCATGTCCAGATGTCTTGTGGATGTGTTCGAAAATGCGTCGCTGGGGCACGAAAACCCGCATGATCACTTCCAAAGCAAAGAAGAGAGCATGATCACTTCCAAAGCAAAGAAGAGAGCGAAGATCATATCCTTGGCAATGGATAAATATGTAGTCAATAAATATAGTCATCCAGGGAATTTATGGAAATTTAGAAGAAATGTGGACATATGATTGAAAGATCCATGTTCTATCTCTTTCAGGATGACTATAAATATATAGATTCTCTATGAGGAACTTGCAAAATGTAAAAGCAATAAAATATAATGTGCATATGATAGATATAGCTCTCTGTGTTTGTCGATCTATTATACACATATATAGTTATTTATAATGTGATAGTTTGGGGATTAAGCCGACCGTAAGGGGGATTTCATGGGATACTATTGATGGATACGAATGGGTATCAACCGATAGTAATGGCTATTGTAGTTGATATCAATGGGATAACTCAGCAAATGTTGCATGTGTCTGAAACTGGGAGGCTTATCCCAATGTATTTCAAGGAATGGGCTGGTCATTGAAAGGCTGGGTGCACAAAGGTCACCAACTAACAGATCAACCCCAAGAATCAGCTCGTGACGTCGATTTCTTTGGGACGATTTCCATATATTTCCATGAAATCCCCATGGTTTCATGGGGACTTCATGCGACCTATGCGACCTGTCTGACTGTCATAGTTTGTCTCCCAAACGTGTTCGATATATCCACCATTCAAACCCCTCCCAACTGAGCTGGATACCGCCAGTTGGATACAATGGTCTGGTAACCTTCTGTGATTCCATGAAAAATCTCGGTTCGTCAAGAACCGGCTTCCCAGTTCATGCTTTATCATAGCCTCCAATATATTTTGTGGGTAGTACCCACTAATCATCAACCAACTCGCATGTACCAATTGTATCCCATACCTTTGATAGTTCAAACCTCATTAAACACTAAAGAAATGATGACTGAGTCACATTAAATCATACTGAATCTCCATTTACATCCCATTAAAAAAAAGACATCTTGAAGCCTTCTCCAACCCACCGGAGCATTCGAGGATCCACGATACCGAAGGCCTCTTCCTGGGCAGAATCCACAGGAAAGCCCCAGCTATCCACCATTTCATACTGTGGATGGTTGCATATGGGCCAGCGAAATCCGAATCACCAGTTGATAGATGGTAAAAAAAATATAGGGTTTCAACCATCCGACCTTGGTGGTTGATCGGATTTCGCATGATTTCGCTGGCCCATCCACTCTATGTTTGATATCTTTGTGGTTTAGTCAAGTTGAGTCCTTGGTTTGGATCGCACATGATCCCATGAATCTGGGAGAAGCCGAAGCCACGGGAGCCAAACACTTGCTGGGACGATCGTCAATGGGAGGTACCCCTGTATCGATCGCTGGATGGTGACTTGTTTATGGAAAATCAATGGGGGGTACCCCTATAGCTGGATGGTTTATAATGGAAAATCCTCGTAAAATGGATGGAAAATCCTATCTAATTTATGGATGATTGGGGGTACCCCATTCAAAAAAACATCCAAGCGGGTATCGGATGAATGTTTGGGGATGAACATGTCCCTGCAGGTAGCAAAAGGGTGCTCAAAAATAGGACGACCGCCATCTCTTTTTCAGGGTGGCCGATCCCACAAAAAGTCAATGGTACCGTCCTCAAACGCACTAGGAAATCCCCAAATAGAGCTCTACAGCTGGGAAAACCAACTATCAATGGATGATGTTCCAGCTAACCACCTTTGATAACCGGAGATTCAATCTCAAATCCCATGAAACCCCAGTAAATTCCATGACATCCCTTTTGTTGATGGTGATGCGGGTTATCCAACTGCCCGAGTGATTCTACCTGTTGCTTCATGGACCGGCTCAGAACCAACCAATTTGTCTGGATGATCTCCACATCATGACAGCTTAGATATGCTTAAATCCGAATTGCCCTAATCAAACATGGCTAGCTGAAAAATCCCCAAGCATCCGTGATCTTTCCCATTGAAATAGCCATTTAGTTCGTGGAGTTTTCCAGCTAGCGATGTTTGATGGCGCCCTGTCCGGCGCCAGTCCCACATCAATATCCCACTACATCCCAGCTTCATAGGGTTAATAGATAGTTAATAATGATTATCCCAGGTGGATGATATGATATGACCATTGGATTCATAATTCTATCCCATAATATCCCATAATATCCCATAATTTTCATGGATATGATCTATTTCAATAGCCCATCTATCCATCTTTTTTATTGCCCAACCAATTTATGTCATTATAAATCATCCTAATTCTCCCACTAGATCCCAATCATATCACCATCTCCGCGCCAAAGCTCCCAGTTGTGGTAGGAGCTGGGTGGAAACAATGGATCGGGGTACGCCCCCAGCATGAACCTCAGTAGTTTGGAAGGCCAGGGGAGAGATAAACACCATCAAAACTTGGAGATTCAACCATGAAAGAAGTGGCATTCAACCATGAAAAGTTGGGATCTGGCCATGAAAAGTTGGCAGTTGACCATGAAAAATTGCATTCTAGTTATGAAAATGTTGGATTCAATCACAAAAAAATGCATTAAACCATGAGAAATTCGATGAAAGCATCATTTTTACTGAGGTTCAATCATCGAAAATTAGAGTTGACCGATTTACAAAACCGTGGTTAATTCGCCATCAAAACAAAACCATGGATTTTCCTCTCCAGAATTGGGCATGCAAAATCTTCGGTTGAGTATCCATCGACGGGGATTCGTCAGTAAAACCGGTGGTTGTTTCACAAATAAAAGCCACTACTGGTTGCTGGTTTCAACCCCTCTGAAAAATATTATATAGTCAATGAGAAGGATTATCCCATATATTATGGAAAAGAAAAAATGTTCCAAACCACCAACCAGCAGTATATATGTATTAGCAAAGAGGCCATATGTTATAAATAGAAGCCATTGAGTTACAGGGAAGGACCTACAAACCGCTAGTCATGCTGCAAAACCGGTTACCATGACATACCATGACCCTAATGTGGCACAAGTAAAACCAAAACCACCCCAATATTTGAAGGTCTATAAAGACTCCAAATGATTTAGCATCATCAAATATGGCCATTGAAAATCCCATTCCAGCCTCCATTTATAGGGGATTTTTCAATTGCCATGTTTGATTAGTCGATGATGTGGGGCTGAACACACCAGCCCCAAGATGGCCCTGAAATGGACTGAGATCCGGTTCCCTGGGTCCACCCCATTTTCCCCACTGGACTTGCGATTGTTTGGGTGGCCAACCAGGCCAAGCAAACCCACATGTTGGTGTCATATGTTACATCCCACGAATATCCGATGATCACATCCCAGTCATATATACAGTATACCGCCATCAAATGGTGGATTTTACCAGGTAGATTCCCATATCTTTGATCAAATTGGGGTATGAGTGTAATCCCCAAAATGGGGTGGAAACAAAAAGAAAGATGGTATTTGATGTCCATTGAAAAAACGAGATAATGATGAGGGCACCCTATCTTTGGACCAACAGAAAGTACAACATACTGTATGGAATCCGGCACTAAAAAAAGGTCAAAACATGGTGTGTGCTTTAAGGTCATCCATCCCAGAATGGATGAATGACCATCCACCAAGATGAATATATCATTATTATATCATCCAATTTTTGACCATGGCACATATGGATACATATGGCACATATGAAGTTGTATCAGATTGTATCAGATACCACATGATACCACATAACTTGCAGTAACCCTGATATGCTGGTTCATCCGAATTATTACATTCCCCTTGTAGTGGGTATATATATATATATCCCCATTTAGTCCATGATATCCCCGCTACAAAATCCCCATTCTTAAAATCTGTGTAAATCTCAGGTCATTTCATTATATAATAGCAGTAAGCCAACCAAGTATTTTTATGATGATCTGCTGGTTATCTCAGGTGTTTGTTGGGTGAATGATCTGGTTCACCCCCAGTCATCAGAACCTCTGGTGTCATCAAACGTGGCTTGAAAATCACCCAGCCAGCTCTTCGATGATTTCCCCATACAGTACAAAACGTCCATTTCTAGTGGTGCGTTCCCATGATTTTCCTATGATTTTCCCATGATTTTCCCATGATTTTCCTATGGATTTTCCCATGATTTCCCATGTAAGATGACAAAAATCTCGCCGCTGCCAAGGCATCCAAGGCATCCAAGGCACCCAACCACTGCACCCTGGACTTGTAGCTCAAAGGCCATCCAGAAGATGTTGACACCTGGGAACAGCGATTTCGCTGGGGTGTTCAGGCCAGTGCAACCAACAAAAATGTGCTTAGGTAAACTAGTATACCAACGAACATGCTGATTGAACCAACGAAAATTGTGATTTATAGTTGATCTATGATAACATAGTTGAAGAATCCGTGGTGAATCTTAGATCATGCCATGCAACTATGATATTTTTCATGCTGGATAGTGTGTATATATATATACATACGGTATAGATATACATATTCCGATTTATAGCAAAAGACCAAAGTATTTGTTCTTGCGGAGGAACCACACCAGCTAGTGCCAGCACCATTCGTGGTGCGAAAAATATTGATGTTCAAAAATCAAAGTTTATTCAGTTGCACTAAAGTCACTAAAGACTTGCTGAAAGTCATCAACGGCAGTTATCCCAGGCAGCAAGGAGGTGGACTCGGAAACTGCCACCATCCGAATCACCGAAATGTGGTGACCAAAAATTGGAGAATCCCCCAGCTATGCAGTTTTTGTTGGCAAAAATCATCGTTTGCTGGGATTTTCTAGGGGATGTTCCAGCTTGGCACGGTTGATTACCACAGGGTACAGTACCTGATTCCCAAGATCTCGCCCCAGTCTCGGATGCCGAGGCGCAGAGGATGGCGCTGATGAAAATCTCAAACCTGGGACGAATTCATAAACGTGTCATACGTGCTTTGCTTGGATCTGCTTAAGGAAAAATCCGGAAAAATCATAGATAAAAACACAAAAAAAAAACATATTTACATTTATATATGTATTCCCTATATAGATTCCCCAGTCCTAGTGGATTTTCCATTGGGAAAGATTGCAGTTTGTCTTCAGAACATCTCTGCCGAAGAGGTGCCTAAACTTGACCCGGCAAGACCCGGCCAAAGAACCGTGTCGTGTCAAGGGGGATCCGAGAACAATACGAATTTTGGGACAACGTAATATTAAAATCCAATTGCACGATATTATGAAAATGATTATGCATATGATTATGAATATGATTATGAATATGATTATGGATATGATTATGGATATGATTATGGATATGATTATGGATATGATTATGGATATGATTATGGATATGATTATGGATATGATTATGGATATGATTATGGATATGATTATGGATATGATTATGGATATGATATGGATATGATTATGGATATGATTATGGATATGATTATGGATATGATTATGGATATGATTATGGATATGATTATGGATATGACTATGGATATGATTATGGATATGATTATGGATATGATTATGGATATGATTATGGATATGATTATGGATATGATTATGGATATGATTATGGATATGATTATGGATATGATTATGGATATGATTATGGATATGATTATGGATATGATTATGGATATGATTATGGATATGATTATGGATATGATTATGGATATGATTATGGATATGATTATGGATATGATTATGGATATGATTATGGATATGATTATGGATATGATTATGGATATGATTATGGATATGATTATGATGATTATGGATATGATTATGGATATGATTATGGATATGATTATGGATATGATTATGGATATGATTATGGATATGATTATGGATATGATTATGGATATGATTTTGGATATGATTATGGATATGATTATGGATATGATTATGGATATGATTATGGATATGATTATGGATATGATTATGGATATGATATGGATATGATTATGGATATGATTATGGATATGATTATGGATATGATTATGGATATGATTATGGATATGATTATGGATATGATTATGGATATGACTATGGATATGAGGCCATGGTCTTCTGCTGGGTTGGGCCCGTTGAGCCCGTTGGGCCCGTCAGGCCCGTCAGGCGGGGCCCGTCGGGCCCGTTGGGGCCCGTCGAGCCCGTCGGGCCCGTCGGGCCCGTTGGGCCCGACGTTGGGGCAGTTGGGCAGTCCTGCTGTATGAGGTTCTTGGAAGGGGATCTTGTAGGGATCGTGTCGAGATCCTCGAAGATTCCTGATTTTGTAGAAGTCCTTGCGAGGAGATCTTGTGGATATCCTAGTGAAATCCTTTGTTGTAGAGGTGTTTGTGAGGAGATCTTGCGCACATCCTGCTGGAATCTTCTAAAAGATATTTGCGTGAAGATCTAGAAGGTGCTTGTATGAAAGTTTGCAAGGGAAGCATTCAAGAGGTTCTTGTACAAAGATCTTCTCAGATCCCTCTAGCAGGTCCTTCTTTGACGACTGTGTGAAATTCTCAGTGAGGTCCTGGCTTGAGGTCCTGGAGTTTTTGTTCACAGATGTTTTCCTCAACGCTGTTAGGGCCTCTTTGCCGGGGATGATTGTCTCTATTTTTTTGTTTGAAAAGGTAGAGAGCCGGGCAGCGTTTGACAAGCCGGGTGGGCGGCCGCCGTTGTATTTGGGTCGGACATGTCAAGCAGATAGAAGCAGATATGCATATTTGGTTTTTTGGTTTTTGAAGGGGTGCCAATCAGATATGTTAGCAACCACATTCTTTATCCCTGCGTGATAGAAGGAAGAATCATCACATGCCACATTCTGTGGAGCAACTTTTCTGGCAGCAAATCTATATGGGACGATTCCGTGTCTGCCAGTTTGGATGTTGCCAAGCCGCCAAGCTATGTTTTCAATAGTTTCACCTTCCGACGGTTTGGTGTGGGTCAAAGAACATGCGCCGTTTGGCCCACGTGCACAGCACATCATGCTTCCCATGGGGAGCAGGACATCTAAAAATGTTTGACCCATACCATCCCATATTCATTTGAGCAGGGCTGGAAAGCTTTAGCTAATCCCTTTTTATGGCTGATTTTTAAAAATTGATGATGATAATCCCCGATATCTAGGGTAATATAGGAATACTGCTCACTTGCTGGTTCCGGCAGCGCTGACGCGGCTATGTGAGATAAAGCCGTCACAAAGGGATGAAGCGAAGCACGGGATTTTTTTTGTGGCCGCTGTCTAGGAAAGAATCGTAGAATCGGCAAACGGCACCGCTTGACAAATCATACCCCGAGTGGATGCGAAGGATTTTGTTTCACCGGTTGGTAGTCAACATCTGGTGCCGAACTAATCAACACCTGGTGGAATAATATCTGTAACCAAATGAAGAACAGAAAGCCATGGATTGCTGAAGCAGGAAAGCGACGAAAATTGGAAACATGATCCCAATGGCGTGCTGGGATCATACATTTTTCATCTACAACCAGATGTATTTAGGTATAAGATATACATAAAGAACAATCACCCAATAAATAAATATTTCTGTGTGTATACGCATTAGAAAGATACAAGATGCATACATTTATATATGTATATATACATATGTTGAAATACGGCTAATGCCTGGGTTTAGCCTGGCAGGGCAACGACGATGGGCAACGAAGCGTCAGCATCACCATCATCATCATCATCATCGTCACCATCATCATCATCATCATCGTCATCATCATCATCATCATCGTCATCATCATCATCATCGTCACCATCATCATCATCATCATCATCATCCCTTCTTGATCTTTCCAGTCGACAGCAAAAAAGCAAACGAGAGTGGGCTTTTTATATTCCTAATACATGTGGTGATCTTCCCACTTGAATCTCAAAGTTCAAGCAGGGTGGGCAATTATGTTTCTAAGGGAGCTTATATTCCAAATACCTATCGGTGATCTTCCCAATTGAATGTAAGATTCACAGGCGGGGAACTTATATGCCAAATAATTACCCTTGTTGATTTTCCTGCTTGAATGTAAAGTTGAACAGAGATGTGATTCTAAATTCCTAATACCTTTGCTGATTTTCCCCATTGAATATTAAGTTAGCCGGGGGTGGGAATCTATATTCCCAGTACCGTTGTTGATCTTCCCAATTGAATGTAAAGTGTAACGCCAGCACCAGAAGGGATGATGGGTTCATTCAGTGCCACGGCCTCTCGAGCCCGTCGAGCCCGTCGAGCCCGTTGGGCCCGTTGGGCCCGTCGTGCCCGTCGGGCCGTTGAGCCCGTGAAGCAGGCCCGTTGGGGCCCGTTGGGGCCCGTTGGAGCCCGTTGGGCCCGTTGGGCCCGTTGGGCCCGTCGGGCCCGTCGGGCCCGTTGAGCCCGAACCTAGGAAAGGACTATTCTCGGATATGATTATGGATATGATTATGGATATGATTATGGATATGACTATGGATATGATTATGGATATGATTATGGATATGATTATGGATATGATTATGGATATGATTATGGATATGATTATGGATATGATTATGGATATGATTATGGATATGATTATGGACATGATTATGGATATGATTATGGATATGATTATGGATATGACTATGGATATGATTATGGATATGATTATGGATATGATTATGGATATGATTATGGATATGATTATGGATATGATTATGGATATGATTATGGATATGATTATGGATATGATTATGGATATGGCTCAAAAAGTGGGATATCAATAAAATTCTTGGCTTCTGCAGTACAAAAGCCTGAAATTTGTGGTGAGAATCCGGCCATCGTTGGTCCCAACTTTGACTCCCAATGAAAACTAGCCCAGAAAATAGGCCATCAAACAGAATGACTTTTCTTCCAGTGATCCCCACCAAATTTTATATTCTGTCTCACATATTTTCTGACAGTCTACCTGATATATTTATATATATATATATATTCTGACATTCTCTCTGATATGTATTTTGAAATTCTATCTCACACTGTGTTTGCCGTTTTATCTGACACATAGTCTGACATTCGATCTGACACTCTATGCCATTTGATCTGACATGTATTCTGACACTTTACCTGTGACAGTGAGCCCCTCTGACTCTAATTTTTTTTCGGAATCTCCAGACCTTCACCCAGGTGCCAGAAAAAAACACCTGCCAACTGTTGCTGATCCGCAAATGTCGCCCTGGTCTGCTGTTGTGCAACTGATTGGACTGTAGCCACCACTGCGTTTTCTTCCAGCGATTCAGCCGTTTAAAGCGTCGGAGAAAGGCGCTCTCGGTCTCCTGGAACGGTGTCCGCGGCAACCCAAAAGACTGAAGAGTGAAATCCTACAAAACAGTGATCAATTACTTTTCGATCGTTTTGGGGGCCATAGCTAGAACCTCACTCACAAACTACTGGTTCTTGTAGAAGAAAGAAAATGAAAGAACAGCTTTTCCTGATGTTATTGATGATGTGTCCCCCATAATTTCAAGGTTTCCACTTTTCTGTCTACTGGGGGGGGTGCTAAAAATCCACGTTTTGCCGAAATTCCCATCGGCAGTTTGCACCGTGCGCGACGCATTTTGCCCCAGATCATGATGATCAATAGAAACTGATGATAGACTCAGGGCCGAAGCAAAACCAAAGCATGACGACAACCACATGGACCCACCATGACAGCCCAATGAAACCACAGCCACGCTCCGAAAAGAATTCGGTCAACGCCGTGCGGTCAGCATCCAACTCGTCCGAGCTGCCCTGACCTGTCAAAGGTCGCCCGCGAACGAATCGGGATATAGCGGGATAGTGGGAGGGTGGTTTTTAAACCCCCCCAAAAAAAGTCCTGAAAAACAATCAGATCGATCAGTTGGAATCATCTTTCTGGTGATAGGGCCTATAGGGATTGAAAAATAGGGTCAAAGGATCCAATATCACCCAACAGCTGAATTTAAGTGACATTATCCAGCCTCGTAGTTTTGATGATCTATTTCATTTTAGGCCAAAACCCTGTTAACAAAAACAACTCGGAAAAAATGGAGAGACTGGTGTTGCAGTTCATTAATCAAAATCTTCATTCCGTTGGGGAACATCATGTCGCTTTGGACCCCCCATTGAACATGAGACCACATGGACGTTGAACGGAAAACAGCACCAGCGAAATCAGCCAAGTTGCTGCCGTTCGTGTCCACCCGGCCCAGCGATATGGTGTCATCCGGCGTGAAAGCAGGTAGGATTTGCTCTGCTTGCACCGTCGGAATACCCTGGCGGTTCCTGGCGCTTTTTTTCGGTTTCTCAACATGATGGTGGCATCAGTGACATCCATCTTGGATCATCTTGGGCTGGTGGAATACCATTCAGAAGTCCAGTTCCCATCAATATCCATTCATCATATCCCATGGCAAATCTCCATTCTGGTGAATTTTCAATCCATGGGATATTCATGGGATCTTACTTGTTTTCCTACATGAAACTGTGGTCCCTTGATTTCATATTTGATCAAAAGAGATGCTCCTAGCACTTAGATCCCCGATGGATGGAATTCTTAGGGTCTACAGCCCCCATTCCAGCCAATATGCTGGCTGAAAGGGTAGGTACCAAGACTGAAAGCCATGGGCTGGAAACATGACCCCAACCCCAAAAATTTAGCCAAAGTAGGAAAAGTACTAATATGTTCCCGTGGCTGAAAACTAGGGGATGTGAGGTTACCTTGCATCTTACAACTTACATGTTTCAAGTGGCTGAAATCATAGGCACCTGAGATGCAGGCCAACACACGCACATCCTGTTGAATCTTTCACATCCTGTTTCTGAAGCGTTCAACTTTTTTTTTCGAAAAAACCTTGCATCTGAAGCTTTCAACTGTTTTTTCGAAAAAACCTTGCATCTGAAGCTTTCAACTGTTTTTTTCGAAAAAAACCTTGCATCTGAAGCTTTCAACTGGTTTTTCGACAAAAACCTTGCATCTGAAGCTTTCAATTTTTTTTTTCGAAAAAAACCTTGCATCTGAAGCTTTCAACTGCTTTTTCGAAAAAATCCCTGCATCTGAAGCTTTCAACTGTTTTTTTCGAGAAAACCTTGCATCTGAAGCTTTTAACTAAAAAAAACCTTGCATCTGAAGCTTTCAACTGTTTTCGAAAAAACCTTGCATCTGAAGCTTTCAACTGTTTTTTCGAAAAAAACCTTGCATCTGAAGCTTTCAACTGGTTTTTCGACAAAAACCTTGCATCTGAAGCTTTCAACTGGTTTTTCGACAAAAACCTTGCATCTGAAGCTTTCAACTGTTTTTTCGAAAAAAACCTTGCATCTGAAGCTTTCAACTGTTTTTTCGAAAAAACCTTGCATCTGAAGCTTTCAATTTTTTTTCGAAAAAAAACCGCATCTGATGCTTGAAAAGCGCGCGATGGCTGGAAACCTCGGATTCACCTCTGGAGTGGTTTGTCTCAACAAGTTCATGGTGCAACGGTTTGCTTTCTTGATGGTTTGTCTCAACAAGTTTTTAACTGTGGGCAGCAAGTTCACTTACAGGTTACATGTCAAAACCTCAGACCCCAGGATTTCATCTCAACAATTTCATTGTTGGCAGCAAGTTCACTCGCAAGTTACGTGACAAAACCTTTCCAGTGATTTGCGGCTCCGGAGGGTCGAAAAGTAGGCTCGCTAAAGCGGCAGTTGCGGAGCCAGCTGGCCAGTTGAGAGATGACAAATTGCACGCCGTTGTGGCGCGAAGCACGTTTCCAAGCGAAAATGTACAAAACACCTGGGTCTCGGAGCACTTTTGGAAGTTGAGATGTCGAAAAAGTGCACGCCGTTGTGGCGCGAAGCACATTTCCAGGATTTCAACTCAACAAGTCCATTGTGAAACGATTTGTCTTGTTGATGGTTTGTCTCAACAAGGTCATTGTAAAACAATTATTTTCTCCCACGCTGACTTTTCAGGAATCCAATGACCTGAACACTGCAAAGTCTCAAACCCTAGGCCCTAGGATTTATTGCGCAATGGCTGGAAACTTGGGATTCACCTCTTGGTTGATGTGTCTGTTTTCCCAATGTTGTTGGATGAAAACTATGGATCTGAGGTCAGCATAGAAATATAAGGAATCGAGTAGAGCTGTGGCTGAAAACTGTGGAACCAACATAACATGAACACATGCTCAACTGCATCCTGAAACTCTATTTCTCAGAAATGATGCTATCTGGGGCTTGGCTGAAATGTAACGCCAGCACCAGAAGGGATGATGGGTTCATTCAGTGCCACGGCCTCTCGAGCCCGTCGAGCCCGTCGAGCCCGTTGGGCCCGTTGGGCCCGTCGTGCCCGTCGGGCTCGTTGAGCCCGTGAAGCAGGCCCGTTGGGGCCCGTTGGGGCCCGTTGGAGCCCGTTGGGCCCGTTGGGCCCGTTGGGCCCGTCGGGCCCGTCGGGCCCGTTGAGCCCGAACCTAGGAAAGGACTATTCTCGGATATAATTATGGATATGGTTATGGATATGGTTATGGATATGATTATGGATATGATTATGGATATGATTATGGATATGATTATGGATATGATTATGGATATGATTATGGATATGATTATGGATATGATTATGGATATGATTATGGATATGATTATGGATATGATTATGGATATGATTATGGATATGATTATGGATATGATTTTGGATATGATTATGGATATGATTATGGATATGATTATGGATATGATTATGGATATGATTATGGATATGATTATGGATATGACTATGGATATGATTATGGATATGATTATGGATATGATTATGGATATGATTATGGATATGATTATGGATATGATTATGGATATGATTATGGATATGACTATGGATATGATTATGGATATGATTATGGATATGATTATGGATATGATTATGGATATGATTATGGATATGATTATGGATATGACTATGGATATGATTATGGATATGATTATGGATATGATTATGGATATGATTATGGATATGATTATGGATATGATTATGGATATGATTATGGATATGATTATGGATATGATTATGGATATGATTATGGATATGATTATGGATATGATTATGGATATGATTATGGATATGATTTTGGATATGATTATGGATATGATTATGGATATGATTATGGATATGATTATGGATATGATTATGGATATGATTATGGATATGATTATGGATATGATTATGGATATGATTATGGTTATGATTATGGATATGATTATGGATATGATTATGGATATGATTATGGATATGATTATGGATATGATTATGGATATGATTATGGATATGATTATGGATATGATTTTGGATATGATTATGGATATGATTATGGATATGATTATGGATATGATTATGGATATGATTATGGATATGATTATGGATATGACTATGGATATGATTATGGATATGATTATGGATATGATTATGGATATGATTATGGATATGATTATGGATATGATTATGGATATGATTATGGATATGACTATGGATATGATATGGATAGGATAGGATATGATTATGGATATGATTATGGATATGATTATGGATAGATTATGGATATGATTATGGAATATGATTATGGATATGATTATGGATATGATTATGGATATGGCTCAAAAAGTGGGATATCAATAAAATTCTTGGCTTCTGCAGTACAAAAGCCTGAAATTTGTGGTGAGAATCCGGCCATCGTTGGTCCCAACTTTGACTCCCAATGAAAACCAGCCCAGAAAATAGGCCATCAAACAGAATGACTTTTCTTCCAGTGATCTCCACCAAATTTTATATTCTGTCTCACATATTTTCTGACAGTCTACCTGATATATATATATATATTCTGACATTCTCTCTGATATGTATTTTGAAATTCTATCTCACACTGTGTTTGCCGTTTTATCTGACACATAGTCTGACATTCGATCTGACACTCTATGCCATTTGATCTGACATGTATTCTGACACTTTACCTGTGACAGTGAGCCCCTCTGACTCTAATTTTTTTTCGGAATCTCCAGACCTTCACCCAGGTGCCAGAAAAAAACACCTGCCAACTGTTGCTGATCCGCAAATGTCGCCCTGGTCTGCTGTTGTGCAACTGATTGGACTGTAGCCACCACTGCGTTTTCTTCCAGCGATTCAGCCGTTTAAAGCGTCGGAGAAAGGCGCTCTCGGTCTCCTGGAACGGTGTCCGCGGCAACCCAAAAGACTGAAGAGTGAAATCCTACAAAACAGTGATCAATTACTTTTCGATCGTTTTGGGGGCCATAGCTAGAACCTCACTCACAAACTACTGGTTCTTGTAGAAGAAAGAAAATGAAAGAACAGCTTTTCCTGATGTTATTGATGATGTGTCCCCCATAATTTCAAGGTTTCCACTTTTCTGTCTACTGGGGGGGGTGCTAAAAATCCACGTTTTGCCGAAATTCCCATCGGCAGTTTGCACCGTGCGCGACGCATTTTGCCCCAGATCATGATGATCAATAGAAACTGATGATAGACTCAGGGCCGAAGCAAAACCAAAGCATGACGACAACCACATGGACCCACCATGACAGCCCAATGAAACCACAGCCACGCTCCGAAAAGAATTCGGTCAACGCCGTGCGGTCAGCATCCAACTCGTCCGAGCTGCCCTGACCTGTCAAAGGTCGCCCGCGAACGAATCGGGATATAGCGGGATAGTGGGAGGGTGGTTTTTAAACCCCCCCAAAAAAAAGTCCTGAAAAACAATCAGATCGATCAGTTGGAATCATCTTTCTGGTGATAGGGCCTATAGGGATTGAAAAATAGGGTCAAAGGATCCAATATCACCCAACAGCTGAATTTAAGTGACATTATCCAGCCTCGTAGTTTTGATGATCTATTTCATTTTAGGCCAAAACCCTGTTAACAAAAACAACTCGGAAAAAATGGAGAGACTGGTGTTGCAGTTCATTAATCAAAATCTTCATTCCGTTGGGGAACATCATGTCGCTTTGGACCCCCCATTGAACATGAGACCACATGGACGTTGAACGGAAAACAGCACCAGCGAAATCAGCCAAGTTGCTGCCGTTCGTGTCCACCCGGCCCAGCGATATGGTGTCATCCGGCGTGAAAGCAGGTAGGATTTGCTCTGCTTGCACCGTCGGAATACCCTGGCGGTTCCTGGCGCTTTTTTTCGGTTTCTCAACATGATGGTGGCATCAGTGACATCCATCTTGGATCATCTTGGGCTGGTGGAATACCATTCAGAAGTCCAGTTCCCATCAATATCCATTCATCATATCCCATGGCAAATCTCCATTCTGGTGAATTTTCAATCCATGGGATATTCATGGGATCTTACTTGTTTTCCTACATGAAACTGTGGTCCCTTGATTTCATATTTGATCAAAAGAGATGCTCCTAGCACTTAGATCCCCGATGGATGGAATTCTTAGGGTCTACAGCCCCCATTCCAGCCAATATGCTGGCTGAAAGGGTAGGTACCAAGACTGAAAGCCATGGGCTGGAAACATGACCCCAACCCCAAAAATTTAGCCAAAGTAGGAAAAGTACTAATATGTTCCCGTGGCTGAAAACTAGGGGATGTGAGGTTACCTTGCATCTTACAACTTACATGTTTCAAGTGGCTGAAATCATAGGCACCTGAGATGCAGGCCAACACACGCACATCCTGTTGAATCTTTCACATCCTGTTTCTGAAGCGTTCAACTTTTTTTTCGAAAAAAACCTTGCATCTGAAGCTTTCAACTGTTTTTTCGAAAAAAACCTTGCATCTGAAGCTTTCAACTGTTTTTTTCGAAAAAAACCTTGCATCTGAAGCTTTCAACTGCTTTTTCGACAAAAACCTTGCATCTGAAGCTTTCAATTTTTTTTTCGAAAAAAACCTTGCATCTGAAGCTTTCAACTGCTTTTTCGAAAAAAAACCTGCATCTGAAGCTTTCAACTGTTTTCTTCGAGAAAACCTTGCATCTGAAGCTTTCAACTGCTTTTTCGACAAAAACCTTGCATCTGAAGCTTTCAACTGTTTTTTCGAAAAAACCTTGCATCTGAAGCTTTCAACTGTTTTTTCAAAAAAAAACATTGCATCTGAAGCTTTCAACTGGTTTTTCGACAAAAACCTTGCATCTGAAGCTTTCAACTGTTTTTTCGAAAAAACCTTGCATCTGAAGCTTTCAACTGTTTTTTCGAAAAAACCTTGCATCTGAAGCTTTCAATTTTTTTTTCGAAAAAAACCCGCATCTGATGCTTGAAAAGCGCGCGATGGCTGGAAACCTCGGATTCACCTCTGGAGTGGTTTGTCTCAACAAGTTCATGGTGCAACGGTTTGCTTTCTTGATGGTTTGTCTCAACAAGTTTTTAACTGTGGGCAGCAAGTTCACTTACAGGTTACATGTCAAAACCTCAGACCCCAGGATTTCATCTCAACAATTTCATTGTTGGCAGCAAGTTCACTCGCAAGTTACGTGACAAAACCTTTCCAGTGATTTGCGGCTCCGGAGGGTCGAAAAGTAGGCTCGCTAAAGCGGCGGTTGCGGAGCCAGCTGGCCAGTTGAGAGATGACAAATTGCACGCCGTTGTGGCGCGAAGCACATTTCCAAGCGAAAATGTACAAAACACCTGGGTCTCGGAGCACTTTTGGAAGTTGAGATGTCGAAAAAGTGCACGCCGTTGTGGCGCGAAGCACATTTCCAGGATTTCAACTCAACAAGTCCATTGTGAAACGATTTGTCTTGTTGATGGTTTGTCTCAACAAGGTCATTGTAAAACAATTATTTTCTCCCACGCTGACTTTTCAGGAATCCAATGACCTGAACACTGCAAAGTCTCAAACCCTAGGCCCTAGGATTTATTGCGCAATGGCTGGAAACTTGGGATTCACCTCTTGGTTGATGTGTCTGTTTTCCCAATGTTGTTGGATGAAAACTATGGATCTGAGGTCAGCATAGAAATATAAGGAATCGAGTAGAGCTGTGGCTGAAAACTGTGGAACCAACATAACATGAACACATGCTCAACTGCATCCTGAAACTCTATTTCTCAGAAATGATGCTATCTGGGGCTTGGCTGAAAACCATGGGTACAAGTGTCAGGTAACAGTTGCAGCTGGCTAATTTTTTGAGGTAGAGCTCCCCCCTTTTCAGCCAGGACCACCAGACGGGGATCACTTAGCATATCAATATATTTCTTAGATGCTCCTGCTCCTTCTTAAGTTTTCATATTTCTGGGGCAAAACTTAGCAATGGAAGTGGCTGATTGCCCCAGAAATTGGGAAAATCCCATGAAATTCTGGTGATCTTTCCCATCTGGTCACCCGCCCTCCTGGCTGAAAGTAGCAGCTGCGCGGTGGTGGTGCTACCGGTGCCGCGGTTGCGGCGCAGGCTCTGCGTGTGCCCCACGTCCGAACTCAGAGATGGAGACTCCGGGATAGAAAAGATGGCTCCATTGATGATGTGTCAGTAATTGTATATATATATATATATGTATATATGTATATATATTATGTTAGTGAGAACCATAGTTGGTGATCTAACTGTAGTTGGAATGATATATATATATATAATTATATATATATATTGTTTAATAATATGAGGTATAACGGGATAATGCACGATAGATAGTACATAACTAAAAGTTATAAACGACATCTAGCTTCTAGAACCATGTTAGTTAATTGTTGGTCCTTCCTTTGATAACCAATAAAACACGTATTGATTGTCAAAATAGTGGTTACCTGCAAACCGTCCAATCATAACTGACCGGGTACTGTCATAAAAATGTTGGTTAGTCACCAAGGCCAGTAGAGGGTGGTGAACATTTTGGGGGCAATAAATGGGGACATCGGGGGCATGTGGATTTATCTGAAAAAATAGGCTGCCAAAAATATCGCTTTTGGACAAAACGTGATGGTTCATACGTTCATACAGGTTAATCCAAAGAAGGAAAATGGTGATTGCTTTAATGGGTAAAAAAAATGATGGTTTGTTAGTTGTGCTGGTTACTGGTGGTTCGCTAGTCATGGTTTGGCGTAGGATAGACGACTTCGTATAATCCATCAACCTGCTCTACTCAATGAGTTAATTGAAGGGGGGTCAGGCAAAGTCGTCTTCCTCATCCATTCTTGCTTTGGGATTTCCAGTGAAACTAACTGCCCCTCTGTTCATATTTCTGGCTGCATACCTTTGAAAAGATCGCTGGAAGAAGTACAGTATCCCTTCCTATGGATGTCGGTCAGTGTCCTCATGTCGGCTTCACAGCAACCGTCATTCCCCCCATCGTAGTTCTTGAAAATTGCTGGAAATTAGAATACACAAGCAATCTTCATAGACATACATCATGCATCAGTGATATTTTCCTCATTAAAAAACAATTCTCAGGACATTTGGCTTGGCGCCTCACTTCATGGGTCCCAGCTGCCAAGACATAGATTCTAATGGATGGAAGCCGGTTCTTTACTGGCAATTCAAGGTGCTACGTTGGTAAACAGTTTTTCTTTGGTTAAAACATGTTTACTCATTTAATAATCCCCAACATGCTTGATTTATTGAATGGTTGCAGCTTTTTTGCGGAAATTACCTATTTATTTTTGACGAAATCTTGTTGTTTTCCGGTCGGGCAGTTTCCTTGCAAGTCTTGCAGCATTTTGGAGCCAAAAAAGATCTTTGCAGCGTTTTGGGCCTTGAATCTCCCGTTTGTTGCGCATTTTGAGCATTTTGGAACTAGAAGCTGTGCCTTGCACAGTATTAGCTGCAGCATTTAGGACCTGAGATATTTCATGTGTCATTTGTTTGCGCGGCATTTGCAACATTTTGAAGCTAACACCTGCAGTTTGCATGGTATTTTGCTACATGTTGAAAAGTGAAATGTCTCATTTGCATGGTAGTTGCGGCATGAAAACAGCCTCTTTCAGCTGCACGTGTCCTTCTAGCAAAATTCGAGACTGAATGCAGGGTTTTGGGATGAGATTTCTGCTGGCACAATATTTGCAGGGTCTTGGCGAATCTGTTTGTTTCTACCAGTAGGTTTATTCCGCTTCGTTTTAGAGTTCATTTAGGGTTGGCTTAGGGATAGTTTAGCGTTGTTTCGGGGATTTGGGTGGTCTATTTAGGATTGGCTTAGCGTTTATTTCGAATTGGTCTAAGGTTCATTTAGGCTTGACTGACTTCCCTTGGTGTTTCCGTCAGTTTGATTCAGCGCCGTGAACGTGGCACGAACATGGGGGCCTTTCTAGTGGACTGCTGATCTTGGGTTCTTTTTCTTCGTTTCCATGGTCGTTTGGTTGTCTCTTGTTGTTTTCAAAATGATTGCAGCGTTATTTCTCAGGTTGAATCCCTGATGTTGTTTGTTGTTGACGTATCTTACTGGTATTTGCAGAACTTTGGGCTAAGATTCGTGCTGTTGTTTTTGTTGTTTGATGTTGGATCTTGTCCTTCTTAACAGTGTTGTTATTCTTTTCCCTCTTAGCAGTATTGCTGTCTTTTTGTGTTTGCTAATGTCTCCATCGTTGTCGGTGCAAAAGTTCCAGCATATTCCCAAGAAACCAGAAAGAATAAAAGCCGAAAAGCCAAGAAGACAAAAGCCATAAAGGCCAAGCAGCCAAAAGCTACGAAAAGCCACAAAAGCCACAAAGAAATTCCCATGTTTTTTCATAATCCCGTCCCCATATGAAGTACCCCCCACGACTGGGCCCCAATTCATGAAACGGATCCAATGTGTGTATATATATATATGATATGTATACACTAAAGTATGGATTTTGGAGGGCTACCTTTCTATACAAAACTGGTTCCTAAAGAACACCATTGCCAAACTTCTGCCCAGGCGACCCCGAAGATCTCCTTCGCAAGGAAAAGGATGATTGGATGATGGGAAATTTAGATGAATATAGGCCGATTCATGCTGATAATATATATATATGATATGTTATTGAAACATATAGCTGATTCACCAAATTTCCATGATCTAATGATCATTAGGATCATTAGGATTATCAACATATATATGATTCCAATTTCTAAATGACCACTTCCATATTCCAATATATCTAATGGTCTAGGTATTTATTAGAAATTGCCATATTTGTTGTGGTTCCAAAAAACTTCAAGATCCGCTGGATCAATCTTAGAGGAGTATTCGAATCAAATTTTATGCGGTCACGTCAGACGGCTATTTTATGAATTAACAGAGGGTAAATGATGATATCAATAGGACATTTTGTGAATACTTAGATGTATACTCTATGAATACTTAGATTTTATTTTATGAAATTCCTATACCCTCTGGTTATGTCAAAATAGCTATTGAAAATGACCATTAATAGTGGATTTTCCCATTAAAAATGGTGGATCTTTCCATAGCTATGTTAAATTACCAGAGGGTAATGTTTTTATTCGTATCTGATGATATCAATAGGACATTGAAATGATCTAAGTATAGATATCTGGTTGGTGGTTGACCTACCCCTCTGAAAAATATTAGTCAATGGGAAGGATTATTCCATATATTATGGAAAATAAAAAATGTTTGAAACCACCAACCAGATATGATGATATCAATTGTATCTGATGATATCAATAATAACATTGATGTTGAAGTTGAGTGATATAAACCAGAGGACTCAAGGAGAAATGACCAAGGGTATCAATGCAGCTATTCACCCAGGGATTGGCATTCTCCCAAACATGGATCCTAGCATCACCAACTGAGGGTCCGAGGGTTCAAGAAGCAAAATGAGCTGGCAAGCCACTGGGTGTTGGTTTCCACAGACATATGACACCAATATGTGCTTATCTATCTGTCGATCTAACTATCTATCTATCGATCGATCTATCGATCGATCTATCTATCTACCTACCTACCTATCTACCTACCTATCTATCGATCAATCTACCTGTCGATCGATCTATCTATCGATCGATCTATCTACCTATCTACCTACCTACCTACCTACATATCTATCAATCGATCTATCTATCTATCTACCTACCTATCTATCGATCGATCGATCTATC